TAGGTCTATCCTAGCAAAGCAGGGAATAATGCTACCTCCTCACTGTAAATGTCATGTATTGCCTATGTCCTTGTCAGACCTCCAACTATGTAAGAGTCATGAAGGCATGATTCTTTTAACTACCATCTGCCACCCAGCCTCCATTATTTCACTCATGTTCTATGTCTCTATCAAAGTGTCCTGCTTCTCCTGCCTGCCAGTCTTGGACTTTTTCTTCCCATTTGTGACAGGGCGGTGTCAAGCTGCTGGATGACCCTTTCTGCCATCTCTAACAGCCTTTGCAGATGTACCTGCCTCTTGCTGCTGGTGGTCCTGACCGTGGGTAGTGTTTGGGACTATCTGCACTGTAAGATGAGGGGACAGTTCCTGCCTCTCTCCACAACTTATTCACTAGCTTATGTCTGTCCAGCTGACATCTCTGAGCAGCAGCTTCTTGAAAACATTGTGTGGGGCAGTTCCTGTACTCCCGTATGACTATTACCATGTGGCTTCAGTTAACTAGACTGGTATTCTCTAACTTGGCTTCCTATCTCTAAAGCAGGAATGACGGTGCCTATTTACCCTGTTGCATAAGGGGGACAAGAAGCTGTAGTTAATATTCACCTCATGCCATGTGAAGGCTAGAATCTAAACTGCTGGAGCTGTCATCTGCAGCCCTGAGTGATGTTTTCAAGAATAAAAAAAGATCCAAAGCCCTTCAGAGCTGTTTCCTTGAATTCTTCTAGACACAAGTGCTTTCATTGCATTTTAAAAGTGCATCTAATGCTGCAAGGTCTGAGCAATGCACATCAGTAACTGAGGAATGGAGCAATGAGCCCCGAAGGGATATTCTACCCAGCTTTGGATTAGCCAAGATGAAATTCACTCAGATGAGCGAAGTATAACTGTGGTGAGACTTGTGAAAAGGAAAGCCCAGATGCATGTAGTTTGGGAATTAACTCCATACACACAACTGCCTTTGCTCTTCCGGAACCAGGCACTGTGTGAAAAATCTGGGGTTTTTCTGTGCCAGGAACACCTTGATTGTAAAGATTGTTCTGTGTTTACTGCCTGCATGTTTTGTGGATTCAGGTTTGATCCTTTGCACTCAAGAAAGGAAGTAGCTGCACTGAAGTTGCTAGCCCTGGGGATGATGCAAGTGGAAGATACATAAGGTTCCCTGGCACGGCTTTGCCAAGTCAGCTCAGTTGTAATCCACAGCTTCTTGATGGCAGTACTGGGCTGTGATCCAGCTCTCCAGACAAAGGCTCTCTTCACCTGATACCCTTCTCCCTTTCTACTCTGAACTTCAGTGTGTCTTGCACTCAAAAAGTAATACACCCTCCAGGTCCAGCCCTGTTCTGGAGGGAGATGGTGGCACTTGTACTAGCACATGCAGTTTTCCTTAATTCAGCATTGCAGGAAGCCTCAGGACTTCTGAAAACAGGAATTAATAATATCAAAACATTCTGCACCTGTCAAAATTTCACAGAAGTGGTGTTGACAGCCTAAAAAGCCTATGTTTGTGTAGAGGAGCATTTCTTAATCTATTGCTCTTTACACTATAAATGTCAATTTAATGAGAAAGTGAAGCTGGAGTTATAGAACAGTCTAGGATGCATTCTGCTCATTAAGTGCGAGTGATCTATACAGCTGTAAAACGGTTTTAAACTGAATTTCCATTAGGATATAAGGGACTGAAAATTATGCAGTAAAGTCATGCTGATCCCTGCTTCAGAAATCCTATCCTCCAGCTTTTGAGCTTTTAATTTTAACACCCCCCCTCCCACCCCAAAGTAAATCCCCCAAGAGCTCACCTCCCCTGTTTGGTTAGGCAGCCAACCCAAGCAGGGTCAGCTGCGAGGCGGGTGCGGGCTGTTTGCTGGAGGCTGCAGACCTGAGATAGGATTTTGCAGGAAAGGAGAATTGAACTGCTTGCTTTCCGTGTGGCAAGCTTGTCTGAGTATCACCTGGACAGCTGAAATAGTCTTTTTGGGTGACTGCACAGCTGGGATTCTGCTACACCTTCCTCGTACAAGGCAGACAGCCACTGTCAAGAACCCACAGGCAAGGATGCAGAGGGCAAACTGCCTCCCAGCATCACCTTTGACAGTTTAATCAAGCAGAGAAACCAGAAACAGCCTGGGCTGGGTTTCTCCTACTTGCTTCAGCTGCTGTTGTATTGAGTCTGCTGTGCTGCAATGAGCTTTCTCCTTCCACGCTTCTGTACAGACTCTGCTTCTGTCCTGTGTATCAAAACAGGACTGCTTGAACAAATGTATCTTATCCCTTCTGCTTTATCGGTTCGTGGGTGGCTCGGGTTTGTACTTGCTGGATGTTTTGGGTCCCACAGAGAGTAGATGGGGACGTAACTACAGTTGGTTTGTTTCTGACCCACTGGTTTGCTATTTGGTGGTGGGGAGGAACACCTGGTGCATGATCTGGCTCCAGTATTGCAGGTCTTTCCCATCTCCCATACCACATCTCCCTAATAGCCCAAATGTAATTAAAACCTTGCAGGTGCTCTAAGCTCTCTATATGGCTGGGCTTGTTAATTATCTCCTGGACCCAGCTAACATGCTGCCAGAAAGCAGAAATCACATTTCAGAAGAGAACAAGAGGGTTCTGCATCAGCTCTGTGAAAGCGCGAAGCCAAAGCCCAGGAGACTGCAAAAGCGAGAGGAGAATTCAGTTCCTGAATGTGGTTTCCATGCACTGATTTCTCCCTGCTGTCCCAAATCCCCACTAGATTTTAGAAATGCCTTCAAAGTATTGCTGCTACACCTGTGCTTTTTACAGGACCTTGACAGCAGGAAGGATACAAGCCAAAGGCGTGGGTTCAGAGACAGACATTACAGAGAATACTCCCACTAGCAGACAGGGAAGTGGAGAATTCAGATCAGGTAAAAACAGCCTGCCTGGACACAATTAGGCCCTGATATCTCCAAATGAAGCAGCTATTTCTTGCCTTCCTGCTACTGACAACATCCATTTTCTCGCAGCGGCCTCGGATGCCAACTCCGCAGGCGCCTTTTGCCGCAAACTGCAAACCAGTTCCTCTCCACTCTTTTAAGAGGAAGCTCTGCTGTTTAATATTTAATGAAAATTATTTTGTACCTTATGTAACACCTTGCAGCTGGGCCTGACTGCCAGGCAGAGCCGCCCATTTTAGACCTATATTTCCCTCCATCGCGCATTGCCTTGCTGCCCTCTCTCTGCTTGTGCTCACAGATGCTCTGTACCTGGCCAATACTTTGGGCCTGACCCCTCGATGTGGGATTTGGGCTCACGGGGCCCAGAGCTCTTTGTCGGGCCACAGACCTCTCTGTGGTGTTAGTAAGCGATGAGTTTGCAGTAGGCAGTCCTCTGCTTTCCCTGGGCTGTGCAATCAGAGGGAACACCTCCAGTTTGACTCTCCAGTCTGGAGTCCAACTGGAGAAGAGGTTTGTTCTGCTAGCAAAGAGGAGGTAGAGGGTTGGGTTAGTAGCAGCAGGGAGGGATTTTTCACTTGGAAAACCAGAATGAGGTTGGGTTTCAGCAAAAGGGAGCTTGGAAAGGAACAGAGACAGCCACCCTCTATAGAGTTCTCCCTGCCTCCAGCACTTCTTGTCTTTAAGCCTCCCTATCTTGAGAGGGGACAGGGATGAGGTCAGACCTGCTCCCTATATCCTGTATCTCCAGCATGCTGCAGGATCCCATAGGGAAAATATCATCTAACTGAGTGGGTCTGAAAAAGGACTCGCTCAGCTCTGGTCCCTCGGTCTTGTTCTGTGCTGCGGTTCCCACCTGCATATCGACGCAAACAGTCCTGCCCTGTGGGGTGCTGGGGATGAGAGCATTGAAACTCACAGAGCGCTCAGATTTGGTGGCAAAGTGGGGCCACAGGTATGAGAGGCAGATGGCCTGGGAATCATGGTATTAGGGATTTTATTCCTTAAGATGCACTGGGGATCTGCCTCTGAGTCGGAACGAAAGGTATGATGGAAATGTCAATTCCCATGGGGGATTTTAAGTTGCTGGCACATGCATCAAAGACTGAAAGTCTCAGAAAAGCCCAAGGCCATTCTCAGAGTACTGCCAATTTTGCATTTCTTTTTATCAAATCCTGCATTTATTCCTGTGAAGCTAATGGGGCTGACATGAGCTCTTTTCTTGGTCATTTCTCTGTCGTTTCTTCAGCAGTGGTGATCTGTGTCACAGGAACAGGCTTTCCTTGAAGAAAACGGGGAGAGAAGGGGTGAATTTGAAAGAAGTAGGGATTGCTCTTTATCTGGTTAGAAAAGCCAGCAAGTGTCAAGGAGAGAACAAGTGTGGGTGTCTGAATACATTTGTAGTAGTGGAAAGCAGCTGCCATCCAGTCGCTGTCAGTGGCCAATGTGCTTTGAGTTGGGTTCCCTCTGTGTGAGGCTCTGCACCATCTCAGGTCCCTCTCCTGGTCCTGGCAGAGAAGTGGGAGGTAAGTAAGGACGGTCACCTCTCTGCCAGCCACCCTCAAGTGGTTCCTACTGAATGGGGTGATTAGCTTGCGGTTGTGCCTCGTAATGGGAGACCTTCCCCGCAGGCAGGGAAGTTTTACTGGGATAAACAAGGATGAAGTGGGATGCAGAGCTGGGGGCCAGCTTGGCTCAGCTCAGCACACGGGTGCGTGTATCTGCAAGGCTGCCAGCTTTGGCCATGTTCCTAGGGCCAAACACCCTGCAGGCCCTGCTGGGAGGGTTGTCTGCACTGTGTGATCAGTGGGATTGATTGCAACGTGATGGGAGAGGTTGAGGAACTGTAAGACTACCTAAAAAGGAGTAAATAGCAAACGAGATCAAGGAGAGGGGTGTTGGTACTGATCCTGTGCTGTTTGGCTGAGGTTTTCTAAGAGACTGAGCAGTGGCTGCCATGCAGGTTTTCAGTCCTGCCTTTCTCTGAGAAGGGCAGTAGTGGCAGACTGGGATGGTGCTTGGCTGCAGCACAGTTTCCGCTGGTTGATCCTCCTCCGTGCCCATCCACCCTGTCCCTGCCAGGCTGCTTACCACACTTGGGACTTCCTCCGGGGCATGCCGTGACGGTGCCATTTCGAGTGGGGGGTTAGGTGGTAAATCAGCTGTCTGCAGATCCTGTCCGAGGATTTCCAGGGGTCATATTCCTGAAAGCAAGGGGACAGCTTAGACACTGCCTGCGCCACAGCAGAACAGGAGGCAAGAGGGAGGACAGAGGAAGATGGAAAAGGAACAGAGGTGGTAGTGGAGCAGGGGCCATGTATGTAAGGGAGGAGATGAAGAGAAGAGAGGATGAAAGAGAAGGTCTGAGATGCCTCTGCCACATGCCATCTCCTGGGGTGCAGGAGGAGCAGTAGAAGCTCTGCACTGCCAGGAAGGACCTCAGCCCAGCCAGCATGCTCCTGCCCAGAGTGGGGCTGCACTTTCACACCCTGCCCAGGAGCAAGTGGAGCTCAGAAGAGGGGGTTATTTTCGAGAGCTGTGGCAGCGGGTCCGGCTCTAGGCCAGGCAACAGGGGTGCTGATAATGGTGGCTCTAGGCAGGTGGCTGACAATGCAAGGGCTCTAGGCAGGGACCCCCTACACCCTTTTCTTCAAAAGATCTCCACTTTCAAAAAAGCCCAGTGTAGGGGCAGCACGGGTGTCTCAGCTCCTCACTGCTGTATCCTGAGCAGCACCCGTCCCCAGCAGTGCAGACAGGCTGCCAACTCATTGTGTTACAGGACTATGCTCAATTTCTATCAATTACCTTGTTGCCATCTTCCAAACACATACTGTCTTTGGACCCACTATCTGTTACCCTGACATGGAAAGTTCACCCTTGCCTCATCCCCAAGGTGCTTCTTGTTGGAAGAGATGTGCCCTGGGACATCCCTGCCCCTCCCACAGCAGCACCCTGACTCTGTTCCCTGCCATGCTCCAGCTGGGAGATGCCAGGACAGGGAACTAGTGAGTTCCCCATACTCCATCTTACTGCCTTGCAGTCCATTCAGCAGTAACTCATTAGAAAAAGATGGCACCAAGACAGTTGCTACTTTCCTGAGTTTATTTTTACACATGTTCTCTATCACCATGACTTTGAACAGCACCTCTCTTCCTCTAGTGAAGCAGAATGGCAAATGGCAGCTGCTGAAGGCTGGGATTTCTGCCTCCTCTGTCATATTTTCCAAATGCTGACACACACCTGCATTCCCATTCCTCAGCCCTCCAGCCATGGTGCAACATGTGGATTTAGGGATTTGATAGGTAAACACATAGTAAAGCTGTCAGGGAATATGCTAATTTATTCTTTATTGCAAGCAGTTAAAGTGCTGTACTGTGGGCCAACAGCTGCACTGTGACTTTCCGAAGCAGCTGAACTCCCCAGGGATGCGCTGCCGGTATGTGATCGTTCTGCTGTGCCAAGTGGAGAGGGATCACAGCCTCAGTGCTGAGCTGAGCACCCCCTGTTCCCTGTCCCAGCTCCCCTAGGAACCCCACGGGGACTGGCCCCTGCCCTTGGGTTAGGTGCCTTGTTCTACACTACTACTGTGCTGGCAAGGCTGCAGCTGGCATCCTGCTGTCACCTACAACAGCAAACCTTTCCAAGTGGGTGCACGTGCGCTGCAGGCTTCAGCACAGAAGCTGGCACGATGCTCTGCAAGGGTTTGTTGGCTCACAACTGAGAATTACTCTCCTGTTCTTTCCCGTGTCCTCACTGATTTAATTTCCACAGACAGACTGGGAATTGCTCTCAGCCTGCTTGCCTGTAATGCAGTTACACCTACCAGATGCTCAGCCAGGGTTGGAGAGGGGACGTGGTCTGCCAGTGTTTGTGCTGGGCAGGGTGCTGGTGCTGTAGGGTACTGAGTCTCTCCAACCCCTTAATTAAACTCCTGTTAGCTTGAGGGGCAGCTCAGGTGCTCAACATCTTCCTTAGGAATGGGAAAAATGTCATCTATATAATGGTACGTGTGTCAGTGCAGATAAGCATGTGCATCTTTAAGACATGAAAATAGAGGGGTGGGTACATGCAGGTATATAAAAATTGGAGTGTGTTATCTGCTAGGCACCTGGGTACTGGAGGAGGGTAATGTCCCCTCATGCTGCCTCCCCTGAAGGGTGCTGCACAGCATGAGGTTGGAGATGGTCTGGCAGAACAGCTGGAGATGAGGTCAAATGAATTAGGTTAAGAGCTACTCCTGCTGCAACCCACCCCCTCCCTTTTTAGATGCTTATAAAATTTGCACAAGAATTACACTTGAAAAGGAAGATTTTTTTCAGGCTGCATTGCAGCCCGATGATGATGATTAAACTTTGGCTAAATGTAGTTTGTCTATTGAGACCTGACTGGTTAATTGTTATCAGAGCGCCTTGGGAGATGTCAGAACAAGGTTAGAAATGCCACTAATCTACACCAAGCATTCAGTGTATTCCCTAGGGCACCACTGTTTGCTCTGAGCTGTGTGTACTTAATATCTCTCTTTGAATAAAGAAATTCACTCTATTGCTCTCCTTATAAAGCAAACATGACACTTGCCAAGCCTGATGAGCAAATGGATGTGTTGCAAATCCAAGTATTTGTGGTGGCAAAGGATAACAGAAGTAGATGCTGGTGATGCAGTGTGACTGTGGTATCTGTGATGTTTGACTGCACTCAGCATGGCCTTTCTTTGTCTCTGCTCTCCTCGTTCTCTGAAGGAAAGTGCTGGAGCAGAGCAGGGATGTTGTGCACATGACACATTTGCTTCTTGAACCCCAAGTTGCAATATATTAGGTTGGACTTGATGATCTTTGAGGTCTCTTCCAACCATAACAATTCTATGATTCTGTATTCCTACAGCACCGTTCTTTACTCAGAGATCCGGGAGGTTATGGGGGGGGGATGTAATGCTGGGTTAGGGTAGTTACATATGGCAAAGGGCCCGACAAGAGAAAGGTTCTCCTCCTCCTGCAGAGGCACCAGCCTGGGCAGAGGTGCAGAGATCTCTGTTCCCCTCTGCAGTCCCAGAAGCCCCCCATAAGCTAGCTGCTTTGAACCTCTGGGGCATACCAGTGCATATGCCACCGCCATCTGCCCCATATATTTTTATCTGGCCTGTACCCTGTCATTAAGTTTACTATTGGCACAAAAAGCAAATTCCTGATTTCTGTGTGCGTAACCGCCCCCCTCCTTCAGTTGCATTCATGTTCTGAGGTAGTTTTAACTGATTTCTACAGAAATATGCACAATGATCTATATGGTACCACTCCGAGGGCATACACTGCCTGGTTCTGAAGGACTGCAGAGCACCACCCAGCACCAGCCATCCCATTAGGGCTCTCTTTGCATCAGTGCTATGTGGCAAAGTATTCATGGAGCTGAGGGAAGGGTTCACCTTTTTGGGACACTGCAGATCTCGAGCGAGGTTCATCAGCAAGTCATGGGAGATGGGATCCACCAAGTTGAGGAAAGTTGCATTTTTGTAGAGCACTTCATTGAGGAACGTTCCTTCTAGTCCCAGGTCCTACAAGAAAAACAGACAGTCAGATACATGGGCTTCCTTGGAGCTATAACCATGAGGTGTTTTGATACCAGAAAGTAAATCTGATGAGGTGCCAGCTGGCTGCTCAATACAGCAAACTATCCAACAAAGGTGAAGCAGCTGTGACTGACCCAGCATTTCTGTGATGGGGGATGTGGACAGCCAGAGAGCTGAATGATGTGCAGTGTTGAGCTGGTCAGCCTAGGGACTGACCACCTTGTTTCCACCTACCACAGGAAGGTGAGAGTGGTATCGTTTCCAGGCTGGTTTGAACCCAGAGAGAATTAGCTCCAGAAACTCAGAATTTTGTCAGCCTCTATGTGTGAATCTGTTGAAGAAGCTGAGCAGGAAGGCTGGCTCTAAACCTGCTTCTCCAATCTCAGATTTCCTGGAAGAATCAAACCTTTCTCAGGTATTTAGATACTGCCATACACCCTGGTGGTGGCTGGCTGAGCAAAAGTCCTGCCCATCAGTATGAGTTTAGCTGTGCTTTGAATTTCTCAGTAAGTGCTAAGCACTGGCACTATTGTCTTTTGGGTGTAATGCTAAATTTATAGGTAGCTCTACATGGCAGTCATGGGGAGTCCTCTTCCCGTCTTCCAGAGTGTGAGCTAGGGGTATGGAGTGCCTTTGGACGTGCTGGAAGAAACGTCAGCATCCTTGGGAACAAAAAGCTTCCAGGGGCCGGATGGGTGATACTGCAAAGAACTAAGCTGTTTCTTGCTAAGATCTAATATATGAGACAGTTATTACAATTGGGAGGTACCACAGAGCTGTGGGGAAAAAAAAAAAAAGCATCTGGGAAAGACAGATCCCATACTCGCATTAAAATACCCCAAGGGCAGAAAAAAACACCTCAGGGGTGGAAACATAGAGCAAAAAAGCTCCCTAATAGGGGGATAGTGCTGGGTTTGATTCAGTTGACAAGGAGGGCTCAGCTAAGGGAGAAAACAAGTCCTATGCCCATTCTGTATGCTGCTGCCAGGAGAAATGAATAAGCAAATGGGTGCCCCATATGTTCGCGCTGCTCCACTGAATGTGTGCTTCAGGCACCGCCCAGTGAAAGATGCACTGAGGGCTCAAAAAAAAAAAAAAGGGGGGGGGGGGAAGCTGGGTGTGCGCACATACATCTCCAGCAGGGATGGAGCCATAGCTGGCAGAAGTGTGGGATCTTAACCCTAAGCAGCAGTCAAAGCCAGTGCTGTATCCACTCTCTCTTGGATATACTTGGATTGAGCAGAGAGCGCAATACCAAAGAGACCCTGGCTACAGATCTGGTGGAGAAAGGCAGAATAAATCAAATGCTTTGCAAACCCCATCACAGTGTGTACACAGACGATAGCCATAAGCAACCAAGGAACCCAGGCAGTGGATCAGTCCTGAAGGACAGACAGCCACAGACAGCTGGCTGTGGGCCAGGGGTGTACCAAGGCATCATGCCAGTGTCTCCCTTAACCATAAGGCTTCAGGGAAACGGAGCCTCCTACGCCAAGTGTAATATGCACAGATGAAGAAAGCTGCCAAGAGGATGCCATGGCTGGGCGTGCAGCAGTGGATGTCAGAGCAGTAATTAAACTCCCCCAACTGGAGCTATACCATTAAGGTGAATCTGCATTCCCATTATAAATCCTGCCTGCAAGGGATTATAAATAATATAGCTGTAAATATTCACTTCACATTGATAGTCCATAAATTCTTAGCCATGGGGCATTTTCTGGTTTGCTATTTCCCTCCCTCTGTCTCTCTCTTGTTTCTTGGAAAATTCTGTACCACCTAAAGGGTGGCTGCAGACAGCAGAATATTGTACGTCTTGCCAGTTCAGTTCACTTAGCGCTGTTATCTTAAAAATGACACTTGGCTGTTGTCTCGGCACAGAGAAATCAGATTGTACCAGACATTTTGCTGGTGTAAGTTTAATGTCCCCCCTGGCTTCAGCTGAGCAATGCCCACTTAGACCAGCAGGAAAGCCGGTCTGTCTTTTCCAGGTGAGCATTTCTCAGACTGGTAAGATGATGTGCACTGGAGCTGTCCAAGTGTTCCTGTACAAAGCGAGTGTACCTGAGTGCACACCTGTGGTCTGTAGCTGTTCTCTGCGCTGTCTCCTAAAATGGTGGGATCTCGCATCTCTGTTAGCGGATCTGCTTCTGCCTGGCTTGCTCGCTTTACTTTATTACACCCTCCCAACATCCTAGGAGCAGTCCACAGCCCTTCGGAGTCAAAAAACACTGGCAGAATCAATGACATCCCGCGGGGTACATCTGCAGGGCTGGACAAGGTCTGTGTCTGCTGGGAGCGGCAGGCTGCCTGTCAGCAGGAGGCACGCTTCAGGAGACGGTGTCCTCTGGTCTGGCTGAGCGTGTCTGCTCGCTTGAGGAGGCTGCAATTCCTGTCCCACCATTGCTCTGCCTTCCCCGTGCTGTTTGCACCCTGGCCCAAGGCACAGTGATGAGGTATCGTGTTAAATATCCTCGCTGTCCACTAGAGTGAACAAGTTATCTCTCTTTTTACAGGTAAAAACCAGACCCTCACCTGGGACACATTAATCTGTGACTCTTGAGAGCGTGTTACTGCCAAGGTAAGCCAGCCTGTGTAAGGAAGGACATGCTGAGGACCAAGCTAAGGGCTGAATTTAGTTGAGGAGTGAGGGAAATTTGTAAATGAGCAACAAAGGCTGATTGTATTACTCTTTGAAGCTGACATTGGACGTATGATGAGTGCTGGTTCTGATTACATGACCCCAGACTGACTGACAGTTGTGTTTAGTTGTTGAAGGGTGTGGTACGCGTTAGTGGTGTAGCCCTCTGTCTCTGAAATCTCTGAGCACACAATGAAGCAGTGGCTTTGGCGTGGTGTCGGATGGGTTCCCGTCTTACTTGGTGGAGGAAGGCTGTGTTGTGACTACAGGATGCGTGTCCCACTGCTCTGTCATGAGCAGTTGAACAGAGGGTCACTGTTTTGACATGGACAGGCAGAGATGGGGACCAGGAATAAAAAGCGGAACTGGAAAGGCAGTGGACAAAATGTGAGTGTTCAGGACGTGGTAATTCTCAGCGCAGATGTGGGGAAGCCGAGTGTTTAACTGATCCTGAAAGGAGCTGGCAGGCTGCATTGAAAGAGGGGCTTAGAAACAACCCTCCGTTCCAGATGGCCTGGTGACGTAGCATTCAAACCCTGGCTGTTCACAGACGGACCTTCTGGAGACCTCCAAGGTCTGCAGAGGATTTCAGTGCTTCATTCTAAAGGAGAGGTACTGAGCACTATAGAAAATGACATTCTGTAGTTCTGGCCTCTGGCATACCCCACAAAAGTCTATTCATGTTACATTGCCATGTTCATGAAGTGAGTGGTTGCCTCTTTCTCCACAAGCTTCTAAGTGTCTTTTCAAAACTGCCTTTGAAATCTTACTCGACCCTTGTGTGCCATACTAGTGCACACATACAGGCTTGCTGCTGAGGGTTTATCTGTCTACACACATGGCAAGAAGAGTGTCTGTGGTGCTGGTAACAATCCTCATGTGAACACAAGGAGGTGGACAGAAAAAGCAGAGATGTAATTTTTGGTCCTGTAAATTCTTACTCATGAGTATGCAACTTGCTGGTAGCCCAGGGCATTGACCACCACTGTTGGATGTGTTGTAAAACCCAGGACATTCAGAGCAGAGACAGGGCTGTTAATGCAGCTCCCTGCAGCTTGTGGTATTGGCTGTACAAGCAGCCCAGCAAGCCAGTCCCTGCTCCAAGGTTACTTGCCACTATGGTGAGAAACTCTATGTTCCCAAGATGAAGTAGGTCACTATCTAACGAAGCAACGTGATAAGCTAAGAACTGATGGTGTTTTATGTCCAAATCAGAGGGAGGATTTGTCTCCTGTGCTACTGATTAAAGAGTTGCCTGCAGTTTGAGGGAGCTGAGTTTGCCTGGAAAGTGAGGGTAGCGCTGAGGGATGGAGGAGATGGCTCTGTTCCAGCAGCAGGGCTCTGTCCTCAGCATCACTTTGGCACCACACTGTCTGCACACTGGCTTTTCTGTTCCTGAATGGCAGCAGACAGAAACAAGCTCCCACTGATACACTGACCCCTTTACCTCTCCTCTCAGCCTAGACTATCCCAGAGGTCCTCTCCAAAACCAGTTTGATTTCTCCCAAAAGACAGACCTTGGCCAGCCTGGCTGGGTGGATATAATGGGATGTTGTGGCAGTGGGATGGCAGTGGCTTTTCCCTGGGGGACATCGACTCAGGGGCTGTGGGCACACCCTCTGGGCATGGAGGGGTGTGGATGGCGACAGCTGAGGCTCGGACACCCCTTTTCGTGCGGGCAGCACAGCCCTCCTCCCGGCTCCCTCCCAGCCCCTGGGCAGCCGGGCCAG